GGGCAGCAGATCTGCATTCACTTCTACTTAATTACCAGGTGTTAGGGGATTTTTTTTTTTCTTTTTAACAAACTGCTCCCAGCAAACAGTTATCTCAATCTCAAGTTACCTGTGTACAGCAATACAGGAACATTTATTTTTGCAAGTCCATCCTATCAACACGTCTATCTGTGGTATCTCTCAAGCAACTAATCTGTACTGCTGCACATAGATGACTTGGGAGGAGGCAGCTGGGTCAGAAAATGGACTCATTTAGATCCAGTTTCCTATCTTCAAAAGCAGCTATGAGGACTCAATTGAGATACGTGACACAGACAATACTTATAGGCACCCTTACATCCTCCCTGCACAGCCTCTATACACCCAAGTGAGAGGAAAGGCTTTCCAGCTGTATGCTTAAGTACCATTAAGCTGTACCAGATGGAGCTTGTTAGGCTGATCAACAGGCATAAAATGGTGGCTGCCCTCTTTTCTGGATGCCCTGGGAAAAGGGATAGGAATGAGTATATGTTTGTGAGGATAGCCTCTTTAGGCTGTGTTCTTTCAGCTTTTATTCAGAGCTTTCATTTCTTTTTCTTTCCGTATGTTTGTATTCTACGAGTAAACAGTATGTTTCAACAAGTCAAGCACGGTGATTTTTTTTTCAATGAAAAAAATGTCTTCTCTAAGTTTTAAGGAGATAAAAATTCATGCTAGTTTTGCCTTAGTTCATAAATGTCCTATAAATTAAGCCCTTGTTTCTCCTGCAGTATCACTAGAAGTGCTCTGCAAACACTTCCCAAGGAAAAGCAGTGTCCTCAGAACTGCCTTACCTGGGTAAGCCTCACAGACTTGTGTTACAAATTAACACGCTCTTATTGCTAAAGCTTAGCTTAGGAGTGAGTTTAGAATGTGTTGCTAATAAACACTGAGATGTTTTACAGTCAAATGTCCTTTATAGCCAGGGGTGCTTTCATGGATCTTCAACACATGTAGCCTATGGTGTAAACAGAATCCTACAACAGACTACATTAAATATCTTGCATTTTACTTTCCCATTTCCTGATTATTTATCTTCCATCATCTGTGGCAATCTGCTAATTGTAGACTAGTTCTATTCACCTGCTTCTTGTCATGACTTAAATTTGTGTAGTGAAAGCACTTGCAGCGTGGTATACCTGGCTTTCTTTYTTTCCCTTTCCATTTAACTTAATACTATGTTTTTGTACAAGTATGAAGGACAGAAAGTACAAATCTTTCTCCATATGAAATGAGTAAAAATGGTGTCTTTACTGCTCTTGCCTGTCGCTCAAGAAATACGGTTCTCCAGAGGCAAGTTCCTGGAAGTTGCAATTTCCTCGCTAGTTTAGGAAAAGAGCAACTGATAAGTCAGCTGCTCTGAAAATAAGAACAATTCTGCCTAAATATTACTACCTACARCATCGATACAAAGATCACAAATGCTTTAAGTCATAATAAAAACTAACAAATATAGATAAATATTTTGAGCCAGAAGGACTGCAGATAAGGAAACTTTCATAGAAACTATAACACAGCTGCTCTGAGCTTGAAATACAGCAGTGGAGAAAGAATTATTTTTGTAGCATTTGAAGTGTCAACCGAAATGAAGCTAGAAATCTGACAAGCTATTTRCTATTTCTTTAATGCTCGAGTTCTTTTCCTTAATAGCACATATTGCATGAGTCACAGAAGGAAGAACCTTATAATGCAGAAAATGGAGTAAGATGAAAGAAACAAATCAAGTACGACAAAAAGAGACTTTGGAAGTATAAATCTGAAGTGTATTAATACTGCAAAAACAGTTGCTGTATGGCTGGGAAGGTATATGGCTGTATGGAAGTGAGAATAGGATATGGTTGTGGTTGAAAAATGTTACCTCTCTAGAACTATGAGGAAAAGGCAGCACTCATGAGCCTGCACTTTAACAGCTGCAATATTGTTAATTGTTGGCAAATGAGTGCTGGTTTTTGCCTATTTTTGCTTAAAAGGCAAGGGGATTTTGTCATATGTTGCCACTGATTCCACCAAGGCAAGAAGGACAGTAAGAGGATGCAACCTGTTTTGGCTCTCAGCAGGCTGGCTTCACAAGTGGGTAAAAACACCCTTGAAGTGGTTTAAAGGCCTTTGCATTTTGTAATGGCTGTGTTTGATGTCATTTCATTCATGTGTCTTGGCAGCCACCTATAAAGTYGGAGAGAAATCTACGTGTTTCTCCTCATAAGTAAAATCTGAATGGGGGGGAAAAAAAGAGCATTGAAGACAACTGCTCATGCAACATGATGGAGTAAAACTTGGAGTAATGCTGCTTTTCCTGGATAATCGATTTGCATGAAATGAAATTCAGATTTGTGTGGAATTGAACATTTCTGGTTGCAGATTTTATGCCGGAGGAGCGAGAGCGCCCGCTGCCGGGCYGGGAGCCACCCGCGGGAACGGAGCTGCTCCCGGCGCTGTAGGAGGCTCCGGAGGGTTGATCAGTGCTTGGCGGGGGCTGAACTGCTAAGAAGGGTTTTATTGAGGCAAAGTCATCACTTAACTAAATCTTAAGAAAGAATTTATAACTTCTTGAGAGGTTTCATGAGTATCATATTTAATTTAGGTTTAACTATTTTTAACAATTTAAAAAACCCTTATTTGAAAGGGTCAAGTTACAAATCAGACTAATGCTAAGGGATTGTTCCCTACTAATAAGGGTGACTGCTTATTTTGAAGGAGTGGGCTCTTTCCTCAGTAGGAGGTTAAATTACTGACAGGCTTGCTCCATAAAATCATCATGCATAAAATCATTTTTAAGTCCCTGCCACCTCATATTGAATGGGATAATTTGCATTGAATGCCATTTGACAGACAAGCTGTTGCTGACTTGCAGTAATCTATCATTAATATTGCTAACATTACTGTAAAAAAACTGCAGCAAACTTTTCTACATGCTCTAGTCAAGGAGTAATTTGATTTGGTGTCAGTATGATTTATTGGGTTGTTTAGAAGAACAGGAGCTAAATCTTAGAACAGAACAGAACAGGTGCTTTGCTTTCCTAAGGCAAACATCATCTTAAAAACCCAGCAACTGAGTTAACATAGGTAGGTAGGTAGGTAGGTAGGTAGATAAATGTAGATATATTTCAGTGTGGAAACACAGAATCACTCTTATGATATAGTGACCGAATAGGTATGAGTGCCTGCATGCTTGGGATTTGAAAATAAATACCTGATCCTTCCCAAGTTGAGAGGCAGTCATTAGAACCCCCAGTAAACTTAATTTGGAATATCTTTTGTATCAAGCATTTGGGGGGCGGAGGGGTGTTGAAATGAAATAATCATAGACCAAGAATGGAAACCTTTGGAATGCACAATAAGTTCTGAGGTTAAGTATCACTTAAAGCAAGAGGTTCCCTGTTTTAAACAATCTTGTCAGATCTAATGGTTTAGAAAGACCCTATTAAAAATGTGGGAGGAGAATTGTTTCTTATATAGATAACACCAAACTTTTTTTTTTTTTTTTTTTATTCAGCCTAGGAAGCCAGGTTGATTGCAGAGAATATGAACTATTCTATGAAATCATTTATATTAAAAATGATTTTCAGAAATGAGGTTCAGAGAGGAACCTCATGAGGTTCAACAAGGACACGTGCAGGGTCCTGCACCTGGGGAGGAATAACCCCAGGCACCAGTACAGATTAGGGGTCGACCTGCTGGAATGCAGCTCCACGGAGAGGGACCTGGGAGTCCTGGTGGACACCAAGTTAACCATGAGTGAGCAGTGTGCCCTTGTGGCCAAGAAGGCCAATGGGATCCTGGCCTGCATCAGAAGGAGCGTTGCCAGCAGGTCAAGGGAGGGGATCCTGCCCCTCTCCTCAGCTCTGGTGAGGACGCACCTGGAGTACTGGGTGCAGTTCTGGGCTCCCCAGTATAAGAGGGACGTGGAGCTCCTAGAGAGGGTCCAGTGGAGAGCTGGTCCAGCTACAAAGATGATTAAGGGACTGGAACATCTCTCGTATGAGGAGACACTGAGTGAACTGGGCCTGTTCAGCTTGGAGAAGAGAAGGCTGAGAGGGGATCTTATTAACATCTATAAATACATGAAGGGAGAATGCAAGGAGGAAGGGGACAAGCTGTTTCCACTGGTGGCCAACGATAGGATGAGGGGTAATGGCCATAAGCTGGAGCACAGAAAGTTCCGTCTCCAGGCGAGGAGGAACTTCATTCCTGTGAGGGTGACAGAGCCCTGGAACAGGCTGCCCAGGGAGGTTGTGAGTCTCCTTGTCTGGAGGTCTTCCAAACCCACCTGGATGCCGCCCTGTGCCCCATGCTCTGGGTGTCCCTGCTGGAGCAGGAAGGTTGGACTAGATGATCTCTAGAGGTTCCTTCCAACCTCAATCATCCTGTGATTCAGTGAAAAAATATTTTTAAGTTTTATCTGTCTCCAGAATGGCATTTTGGTCAGGATCAGGCCACACAGCACTGAGGTGATGCTTGACTGAGCTTAATGCTATGCAAATATTCTTCCAAAGTTGATCAAACCAAGTAAAATCAGCATATGTTCATCTGATAACCATAACTTCAAGGCAATCAAGGCCTTTTTAACAAATCACTGTGTCTCCAAGAGGATTGGCAGTATTTCTATATTGCTTTTTTTCCTATTTACTGAAGCCTATTTATACATTGTATTTCTCCTATATGAGACTCTGTTTTATTGCCTTTGGAGCTTTCTTGCATTACATTGTTTCAGGTAATCAGTTATGAGAAATTATGTCTTTATCTTACAAAAGAATCTCATAAACATTTGGAAAGCTTTCACTTTAACAACAGCAAAAAAAAAACCCTTTAAATTCTGCTGTTTTATCGTTGATGCTTTTCTTAAGCAGTACATGAGAAAGATGAGGTGAAATAGTTTTGCACCTTAAAATGAAAAAATAATAAATAAAGCAAAATACCTCTATGAGCATAGCAGAAAAACCAAAACCTAGGTTATGAGAGGAGGGGAAAAATGGAAAGCATACCTGCTTAAGGAATCTGTCAGATGCCTGGCTGTGCTTGGCTAACACATTTGGCAGTGCAGGGTTCGCATATTCAAACTGAGGGTTGTACGTGAAATCTGACTTGAAGAACTTCACCTTCTCTTTCTCCACGTTGGCAGGCTTGATGGCAGTGAGCAAACAGAGCTTCTGCCCGGAGCCGTCTCCTGCCTTCCCACGGGATTGCTTAGGCCTCGCCTGGTTGGGATGCCTCTTAGTCCTGCTCCTGGGCGGGGGCGGCGGCGCGGCGCTGCTGCCTGCAAACCTCAGGGTGCCGCAGCCCGGTGGGGCCCCTCTCTGCTTCTTCGGGAGAGCAGGGGGCTGCCGGGGAGCCTGGTGTTTTTTCTCTTCTTGGCTCTGCAGAAGGACGTTGTAGCTACTGGTTCCTGTGGTGAAAATGTCCTTGAGAACGCCAGCGGCCACGGGCTGGGAATGGTTTTCATTGCTGATGTTCAGCTTGTGTTCCTTTGGGCTCAGGACTGATTTCTTGGAGAGCTCTTGCTTAGGCCAGTGAAGTTGTTCTGCATTAAAAGAGGAAAAAGGTGGAAACAAATCTGTTTTTTCTAAAGAGCAATGGAAAGTTAAGATCCCAAAGAGCAACAAAAATGAAACGCAGAATTTGACTAGAAATAACTTGGTGTGACATGTGGAAGTGTGTGTGTGTATACACATCAGCTTTAAACAAATTAGATCGGGCTTTTGAAACCCAGCTAAACAAGTATTCTGGGTTTGCAAGTCCATGTGTAAGTGCACAACTTGTGTGAGCGCACTCAGTTTGCAGCTGTGAGCTAACTTGCTTAAAAGGAGATTCCTCTGCATGGCTTTATAAGYGCTCACAGTCACACGGACATCTTCRGTTTTTAGTTTCAAGCAACRCCCGCGTGATCTTCGYCATGCAATGAATGCCTCTGCATGGATAAAGGATGGCTTAAAAACAAGGAAACGGTGTAGAAATACATGGACTGTACAGGAATTGAAATTCCTTGGGCACCTGTGCTGGGATATAAGCGGCCTGGAGTGGCCTCGTCTGTAAAATCTGATTCACAGAACTTGCTCTCAGGAAGGGTGAGGGCACCCAGAATGGTATTGCCATTGCACAGTTTGTAACTGCAGAAATAAGRAAGTTAAGGGGCTTCAGTGTTCTGCATTTACTCCTTAATACAGAGAGAAAGTTATATTTAAAAAGAGAGGTGGGAGAGAAGAAGGGAAATAGAAAAGAGATCAGTTAGTTACAAGTACATCTCTAAAATCTGCGACCACACTGCCACTGCATTTGCCCAAAGCTCCACCGTAATGGCCCGTCTAAGGAAAATACTTGAGAAGAAACACCATGAACTAAGCTGAATGYGAGAAGCCTTCAGCAGGAACGTAAGTGGAGGAAGTCTCTGCTCTTGCCCTGACCCCTGGGATAGGGAGGCAGGTCCCTGGCACACAGCCTAAGACACTGAGGATGAGAAGTGTGGTCACCGTTTGGATAGCTTGTTGGAGGGACCTGACCCCTACTCCTGGTCCTAACCTTCCACCCCCTGTCCCATTAAATAGTTGTGGTGAGAGAGACAATGGCATAAATAAAGCCTGCCGCAGGGAAATAATTCCTGCTTCTGCATCTAAAATTAAAGTATTCACGGAATGAGAGAGATGGGCAGAGATTAATTAAAAGCCCCCATGGGGATGCTAACTTCAGCCCACAGTTTTATACAGCTGAGCTGTAATTACTTTACGTGMAGTAATTGCATTCTGAAAGGGACATTAGAAAGAGTTTATTACGGGCCTCCAAGGCTCTCCCTGCCCCTCCAGCTCTCATGCCCATGCAGTACAGCAGAGTTGCTGCCAACGAGCTCTCACACCAAGCAGTGCCCACAGCCCCTGCTAAATACCTGTTTCCCCATCGCTCCGGTTCCTGAGCGGGCAGCCCAGAGCCCTCTGAGTCCCGTGTGCAGGAGGGGGTTGTTCTTTGTGCCCAGGAGAGCCCGAATCTGCAGCTGCCTTAAGGAGCTTGCCACTCTGCAGCAGACGTAACCTGCCGCCACAGAGCAGGGGTGTCCTGAGCCTCCTGCCACCTAAGCGGGGGTGCTCTGAGGTGCATTTGTGCTGGAAGCCTGGAATCTACGGATCATTGAGCAGATTTTAGACTGTCAGCTCCTGCTTCCAGAGTGTCCACAAAGATCACGTAACCGCAGTTCCAAATCTGCTGATTAGCAATGTGAACCTCCCTACTTTGCAAAACAGAAGAGGTGAGGCAGTGCCAAAGCAAAACAGCATCAAACTCCTGAGGCTGTTATTCCCATATATTTGTTGGGGCACTCATACTGATTAAAAATACTTATCCTGTATCCTGAGCTATGTATCTCATCCTTGACCTTAGTGGATGAAAAAAGAAAAAAGCACTGTTGTTTATTGTTGTTTATAACAATAACAGTTGTTTATTCCCGAGCCCAGTGAGGAGCTGTTTGCTGTTGAGCACTTACTCAGCTGAAGGCCCCTTAGGCTGAAATGGCTGTAGGCTTATTGGAAACACAGCTGCCTTTCACCTGCCAAAACTCAACTGCACAAGCAGGGTCATATTTGTCTTARGTTGTCAAACCCAACCCTTGATGGCTCTAAAAGCCTCCGGGGAATTGTTCCCAAATCCACATAATGTTCCCAAACACTGCTGTTGGTGCTCAGCCTCCCCTTGGCGGATGGCTGGCCGCACAAATGGCAAGTGTGGGCTCCCGTGCTGGCTGGGAAGTGCCTCGCTCCCTGCCCGCTTCCCGCTTAGTGACTCTAAGCTAGGTCCAACAGACCAGCCTTTTGCCTCCTGCTTGCAGGGATTGGTTCTCTTCAACTGCTGCTTCTACRAGGCACAGTGTACATCACTTGGGTCTCAATATGTGTCACTGCGTGGATATTAAGATCAGCTTTACGTGTAGCTGTTAGCAGGGTAAGTGCTATTATAACAGCATCTTCTGGGGACAAAAGTCCCTGCACTGCAGATCTTCCACAGAGGAGTTGCTGGATCAACTTGTGTGTGGTTTGAACCATTAGATGGCAAGYGTGAGATGTACAACAGGTAAACTGGGTAAACTGCCCGCACTATATTGCCTATAACTTAGGTGCAACACACTTGTGAGCTGCTTAGAACAGCGTAAAGTGGTGCCTTTCCTGGCAGGTATTCCCATGCTTGTCCCATCTCGCTGCTGGTTCCTGCCTAGGTCTCGTCCCACCCCTCTATGAGGGCACCAAATGTTTGCACAGCTACAGGTCCAGCCGTGAACCAGCCTTGGAAATGGATCTGACCTGAAACCAGTYCAGCCAGAGGTGGCGATCGGGGGCCAAGGACAGGCACCAATTCTATCTTCAGCAATTCCACTTTAAACAGCTTATAGAATTAAGATTTTTTTTTCCTTTCCACAGACTTAACTCCCCACACTATTATTTTACTGAAGTCAATGAGCTGTTGTTTCCCTCGGATATTCAGAGGGAGAGGCCTCCCTCTACCGCATTCTCCTCCTTCCTAACCTCTGTCCTCTTGCTGAGGAAGGTCCCTCTGGAGCTCTTTGCTCTATTGCTGCAGTCTGCATTAATTTTATGCCTTATTTTTTCCACTAGCACAGCCATAACACCAGTTACGGAGTTTTTAGTAACCCTACTTCACATTTGCTCTTTCCTTACACTCTGCACACTGCAACTGTCAATAGATTAGATGGGACGGACAAACTTTCCCAGCTAATGTTCTAATAAGGAACAGCCTTTGCAGACTCTCCATCCTTTCCAAGAGAAAACAGTTATTTTTAAATCATTTCTAATGTATTTGAAATTTCAATGTGCTTAGTCTTGCAGCTGCTAAAGGTGCAAACTAAGAGCCCTTTCCCACTGGTAAGATCAGCATCAGCATTAGCAAGGGCTTAAATAACTAGGGTACCAAACAGTCACCACATCTGTAAGCTCGAGTGCTGTTTAAATACCACTTAATTACTCAAAGTTAAATTAAAGAGGACCACAAGCACTATTATGGACCTGAAGTGCTATAYGAGGATGAATCTCTTATTGTATAGAATGGATTGGCATGAAAAAAACTGACAAACTCAAGGCATGAAGCCTACATAAATGACAAAGCTAATCTTGATCCTCCTCTAAACATCCTTAGCTCCTGCAGAAAGAATGCTGAAAATGCAAATCCATCAGCTGCTGGCTGGGGTAAGCTGCCATTGGAGTGGTTTTTTGTGCCAATTGTGCCAACTTTTTAAATTTGTCATCTCCTGCACAGGGAATATTTAAGACAGAGACTCAAGCTCTCCAAGCTGTAAGTTTTGCTTTCATTCAGAACCTGCTTTTGAGTTAACAAAATTAAGTCACGAGTCACTCTTTTGTTCTGCAGTGCTTAATTTCTAAGTGCAAAAATGTCTCTCTTCCCAAAGTAAGAGCCAAGGAACGATTTTTGTGCAAGTATGCCATATGGCATGGCAGAAAGGTCTACCCTCAGGCACTTTAGACCCACTCAAGTAATTTTGCTCCTGCTCATGGTTACAAAGGCTGCTTTCTGTAGCTCATCATTAGGGTATTTTGATACAACTATTTAATGAGAGGTGTGTGACCCTGTGCCCCGTGCTCTGGGTGTCCCAGCTGGAGCAGGGGGTTGGACTGGATGATCCCTAGAGGTCCCTTCCAACTTCAACCATTCTGTGACTCACAGACTATAGCTGTACAGCATTAACCAGATCCTCCCCATTGATCTCACTTCCGAACACTCGAAAGTCACAAAACGTTAAGTCCTTCCACACAGCAAAACCCTAGCCTGTCCTSCAGCACTGCCCAGCCTGTCCACTTCCATTTATTTGCATCGTCTTCCTCTGTGCAACAGCACAGCAACAAAAACACAGCTCTTGGGAGAGKCTGATAAAATGGGACGCCAAGTGATGTGCCAGATCTAGGAGCAGGAGGTGAGGAGGTGGAAATAAGGAGAGGCAGAAGATGGGCCTGTGCCCATTTTGATACCAACGAGRCACTGAAGGAGGAGACATGCCCAGAGGCAGCTCCTCTCCTGTCTGCTAATGGACCCCACATCAGGACAAGAGCAGCTCCCTGTCAGGGATGATGATTTCCATCAGGAAATCGGCTGGAGCTCACACTTACTCCACACTTACTCCACACTGCAGCTACAACTAACTACACTGCAGCCTGTCACAGAATTAGGCAAAATGCCACCTGCTTGATTTTGTTGTAACTATGGGGATCTTGTTGCTACAGCCAAGTTTTACACAGGGCAACTTTATTTATATACATGCAGCTATTTCTGTGCCTCTGCAGCACTGGAGAAAGGAACAGACACCAAGACTGACAGAAAGGATATGTGGGCGCTGCAAATTGTAATTCCTCACCAGCAGAGTATTTTGCATGTCGGAGTTGTACTCTCCTTATGCAGCTGCTTTGAACCTTGCAGCACCACAGAAACRACCACGTGCTGTCAGAGCCTAGCACCTGGAAAGCAGACCTGTTAAATTTTGTATTGAGTTCAGGAACACACCGGTTTACGTCTTTCAGAAACTGATRCATTGAGCTGTTTTCATTATCTTAATAATGCATTTAGTAAGAGCCAAATCTTAAAATTTTCTGCGGATTTTGGTGAATGTTTTGGAGAAAAAGAACTTCTTCTCCACCTCTCTTGATGGTACTCTTCGTACCATCCAGACAGCTTCTCAAATGCTTGTTCCATAGGTGGCAAAAGGAGAATAGATGATAGTTATTTGGTGCATAGTTGGGTCTCTCCACGCAGCTATCCCTGATGTAGAGAGCTCTCGTGGCTTCCGACCATCTGTCACTCCCATGAAATGACCTTTTTTGCCCAGCAGGCAAATCCTTTCTCAGCTACAGGTATGGTACCTGCAGCACTTGGCAAGGATTTTTTGGAGAATTTCCTCCCAGKACAGGAATATAATGATAATGAGAAGGAAATAAAAGGATGTGTCAAGACTCTTCGCAAATGCATGATTATGTTGAAGAAATTTATCTTTCAAATGCAGGTAATATAAACAGACTGGCAATTAAGTGTAGTTGTTCACTAGCTCCGGACTGTATGATTTGTGTGTGCAAAGGGCCACAGAACCAGCATTTTGCCACAAACCTTGTTACAGAGAAGGCCGTGTAGGAGCTGTCTTACAGGTGCTCCAGGCTTATGTTTGTGGAGTAACAGAAGCAGCTGACCAGCTGATCTAGCAGCAACTATAAAACATTATAAGCACTTTCAATGTTTGCAAACACTCAGGGGTTTTGAAAAGAAAGTGCCAGGCAACCTGAATCGTACAGCACTGTTGATCACGCCTAAAAATGGTTTAGTTGTAGAATTAGCCAGTGCACTCCTGTAAAGACACTAGCACTGAGCTGTTTCCCATTTTTCATGGTAAATTTATTAAATAGAAACCTATCATATTGAAAACTACAAAATGTAACTCAATTTTCATTTGTTTTTCTGGAAGGTCTACTCTTTGGTTTCTTCCTGTAATATTACACCTGGCATTCAACTTTAATTTTGAGCTCCAAAACCAAAGGCAAATTTCAATTCAGAAAAAAAGACTTGTCTGAGTCATAAACTGCCAGTGTTTATGTGCAGCTCTCTGATAAATCCAGCATTTACGAGACWGATTTTTTAAAATGGCAGTATATTATGATTACATCTTTCAGCATTATTTTTAGACTGCAATTTTTTTGTATGTTTGTTTGTTTGTTTTCCCTTTGAAATCCAAATGATACTCAAGATGTAAGTTTCCTACCACAAGAGAAAAATAAAAGCTGGACTGCAAGCGCTTTCTTCCAAGCAGCTGAAATAGGCCATAGCTCCAAATTCAGGATATCCAAATGAAATGGCACATGAACACAGTCGTAACTAGCAAAAGTGAAGTCCTGACCCTCGTGAAATGGAGTAGCAGCCTCCCAGTGACCCAGCAGCCTCAGGACACAGCCACGAAACACGAGTCTCAGGCTGCACCTTGCTCTAGGGCAGCACTGGCTTGCTCGGGAATACCCGACTGCATGACCTGCACCTGATTCAGCACTGAGATTGACTGAAAATAAGGGGTTTTATGTTTACGTTTTCTGCTGGACATCCATGCTTAGGAACGSCATCACCCCAGTGCATGAACTTTGCTGCTGCACCCCTTGGGATATACCAGAGCCAACAAACCCGTAAGGTCCACRCAAACATGGAATAGGAAATAAGCTGCTCGGGAAGAGTCCCTGTAAAATAAAAATCTAATAAGGATTGTGCAGGTACAGCAGGCCGTCTCCGTCACGTCTCTTCGGGATGGATTCCATCACAGGAAAACAACGCGGGCTGGGCGCTGCGCAAGGCGAGATGTCTGCTTTAAATGAGGAAAACAACTGAGAGGGATGCAAAGAGTTTCGCAGCAGTAATTTGAGAAGCCCAATGCATGTATTCCCATATATACATACARCATATGCATACAGGACGTACACATACTGCGGGGGAGAAGGGGTCGCGCGGCGCTGCCTCAGGCCGCGCCCGTTGGCGGCGGGCGACACTCACCGGTGACGCGGATGGACTCGAGCATTCCTGCGGCGGGACGGCCAGGATTTCATGGGTGCTTCTTAGGGATATCCACAAATACGCAGTCACCTCCCCGCCGCCGTGCAGGGAAAGGGCGGCAGGCGGGCGCGCAGCGCCCGTCCCTGTCCCCYCGAGGACTACAACTCCCAGCGTGCCGTGCGCCGCTGGCGCCCGCGCGCGGCGCGGCGGGCGGGGCGATGGGCATGCTGGGAGTTGTAGTACAGCTGTGTGCCCAAAGAGCGTGGCTACAATCCGAGAAGGTGGTGGTAGCGGTGGTTGTTGTTGTTGTTGTTGTTGTTATTTTCATGCCTTAGAGACTGAAAGTCCATAGGTGACACCTCTCCGGTGGTTCGAGGAAGACGTTCCTACATCCTACCTAGAAAAGCTTCACTGACCTTCATGACTGCTTCCTAGGGATGCCTGCAAGTACAAAATCTGCTCAGCGAGTGGCTGCACTTGCCTTGCAAAGTGCTGGTCACAAACTTGTCTTTACTGACCTCTCACTCCTCACAGGCCATAATTAAAAACAAACAAAGCCCTTCATAGCACATATTTCAGCTGTACTTACTACTGCCTCACATACCATCAATGACAGGGACTCTGGAGACCAACAAAGACTACTCTTTTTCTCAGAGTCTCCTAATGCAAGAGCTAATACTGAAACACGGCTTTACCTGGCTGAAAAACTGGATGTCCTTTATAACTTGGATTCTTTGAAGTGCAGAAAAGATACATGCTCTATCAACATATCTAAATTCAACCGCAAAATAACCTCTGAAGTACTTTGCTAACACTGTACTACCTGGAACCCGCTGGCTTGTCTCCAAGTCTCAAATTGCAGGAACAGAATAAATGGTTCTTAAAGAGAGATACAGCTACCACTGACAGGTTCGTGTTTGCTTCATGTTAGATGGCAATTACAGACAAAAATCAGAAAAAAAAAAGAAACAGTGAATCACTTTGAGCAGTGTAAGCAATGAGTGTAGCTCATAGAGAAAGGAGAGGTGGTTGCTACAAGGTGAAGTCAGTATGCCATTTGAGCATAACTCCCCACTAGTTTTTGCTGTGTACACCTTAAATTTCCATCTAAGAGATGAGATTTTATTCATGCTTGGAAACGATAGCAATGAAGTTGATAGCTCCAGCTTCTGARAAACACGCACAATTGAGTTTCATTTATACACTACTATCTCCTCCCATTACTTCCTACCATTAGATGCACCTCCACGTTTCCTGTCTTTTACCCACTTCTCTCTGGTGTCTGCGAGACCTTTTCCACCACGTTCAATTACCCTTGAATCCACTGCTTTTTTCTCCCCRTTGTTTCTTTCCTAGCCAGCCCTCTTCCTTCCCAGGATGGCTTGAGGTTTTTGCAAGGGCAGTGCAAGCAGGAGGATGACAAACACGGTCACGGTCGCAGAGGACACCAAGGAGCAGTGCTAAAAGACCCCGGCCCCTGTTCTCTGTATTGGCTCGGAGCAAGCTGTGCCATGTTTGCTGATTAAAAGTACAGTGTAGATAAGCTGAGTAAAGAAAAAGATCTACTGAATGTGAAAAGAACACTAGATGGATATTTAATGTCCTTCTAAAAGGACTAATCTCAAAGGCACTTTAGTATGCAAGACTCTCCAAGTGGACAGCAAGAGATTAGCCACCCCATCATTATTCCTGGAAGCTGGCAGTGCAACTGTCAAGGATGGTATCCTAACAAGGTGAAGGGACAAGAGAACAAACAGCCAAGTCTAGCAAATAGCCACAGTCTGGAGTACATCCTAAATAATATAATTCCACAATGCAAATAAGATCTACATCTTGGTATCACTTATTAATCACTAGGAGACAGAATTAAAACTGATGGGTGCAACTGGAATGTTAAAGCTCTGCTTTAAGACAGTATGGCTTCCAGAGATAATTCTGCATTTACCTGGTCAAAAATACTGTAATTATTTGCATGCTGAAATATATAGCATCAAAAATCTTTGCAGCATGCAGAACCTAGAAGAACAGCGATATGATCTCGTAATCTGTCTCAAGCTAATGCTGTAAAATTCAGATACACACACACGTATATATATACACACATTTGGATTTTATATGTGTGCATGTGCTTGGTTTAATGACTGTTTTTTTTCCCTCTCATGTTCTCAATGATGTCTTGCCTTTCTTCCACCTTCCTGTGCCAAAAAACAAAGAATCACCAAGGAACAAGGAAAGCTGAGAAAAAGCCCATTTAAAATAACATGTACTTCACACAACTTGGCATAACTTTGGAGCTGGCAGAGTGGCAAGGTTATCCTCCCCTCTGTGATTTGATGACCACTAGCTGGCCGAATACTTTCTGACCAAGCAATTTCATTGACAAAGTGACTCCAACTGACTTTCCTTCCATATGTATCTTTTTCTAGAAGAGTCGCCTCAAGTGCCTGTGACATTGCTGACTGTTTCTGCTTTTCCTGCTGGATTCTCATCTGCTAGTACACAGCAAAGGCAGCACATGTTTGTAGGGGGGCCGCTGACTCATATAAACAGCCTTATTCATCAGAATGACTATTTAAAGATGCCTTGAAAGTGTTCAACTTGATGTCTCTCCAGTATTCAGATTGACTGACATACTGAATTTGCTCCTGCTTGATGTCAGGTAGGCTGAACCCAGCTTCTGGGKAACAAAATGCAGGCAAACCTCACAAAAATGAGGTAAAGTGGTGAGGAGGCACCTACCACCTTGGCCTCTCACCCTCATGGGCCTTGGGTTCCCTGAGTTCAAGAGAGGTTTGGGGGTTAGACATGCAAGGAAAAGAGCTGCCTGTTCCAACCTTCTTCTAAATCACCATCCAGAGGCAGCAAGGGCAAGGGCTKTGACAGCTCCAGCAACTGCTTCTTCCTAATGCAGATGTGCTTTTATTTTCTTCCCAGAYAGAGAAAACAGTTTTCCAAAGCAAAAGAGTACACATCCTAAAATCTGTCCAACACCCTCTAGTGTAAAGATGCTATTATTGCAAGGAAGATTTAGTTTGTTACAGTGTGATTTTTCTTCCAAAAGAAGGATGTGGAAATGAAACAGAAAAAAAAATCACAAGCTTGTTCAACACCCAGTGTATATCCATAGATCATTCCCTGTTTAGCAAAGCATACAGACTGTATTTAACTATATTTAATTGTGAGTACTTACCAAAGTTTTAAGAACTTTAAGGTCATTTTGTGTTTATAGTTCTTGGACTTGCCTGCACATTATTTATATTTTGTGTATTATAGTTGCATATATTTATGAAAAAACATGAGAATAAGATGTTGGCAAGAACTGAGAGGTCAGAAAATCACCATCTGTTGGACTTACAGCACACTAAGCCTTCAAACAAGCAAGGGACTAGAGCTGACAAAAAAACTACTTTGTGGAAAAGGGCTTTTGAAACAGGTTGTTTTTCAAAGAGTGTTTTTTGAAATAAATCTCCTAATTTTTCCATCGTCCTGAAAATTCTTTCAAGAATACAAAATGGGATAGTATTTTGGTTGGTGAGATTGCTGACATGAGTATGTGGTTGTTCCATTTACGTTTTGCTACTGAGTTGGAAGCAAGTCCTCAGGTACTGTGAATTAATATAATGGCCTAAACTAATATAATGTCACTCAAGTCTGCTCGTGCCCCTTGCTCCACTTCAGAATTTTTATGTCAGCAAGTGATACAGCTGAGTACTGTGGATAAAGAAATAAAAGAGACTATTTCATAACCAAGACACAATACACGGAAGTTTTTGTAATTCTGCCTCTCCCGTATAAATCACGGCCTAAATGAAAGGTCCTGAGAAACTTTTAGTGATTTAGTGATACAAATACAATATTATACTCAATATCTTGTGAGCAGAATAAATCTTTTTCAGAGTGCAGGACAGGCAAAGGTTTCTTAGCTCCCACAGCCTTATAAAATGCAGAGTTCAATTGCCCAGAGCATTTTTTTTCTGGAACTGAGTCTGCTTGACAACTGTCTCTGTTGCTCATGAAATATGAGTTTTGTCTCATTCCTTGTTTCACTAATTTCTCCAGTCTAATGCATTTCTCTTTTGTCTTGCTGTTCCTTGCTGTTCTCTTTGTTCTTGCCTTTCCTTGTGATTTGCCATTCTGCCCTGTTTTCTCCTTTTGTTTCTTTCTTCCCACAGTCTTTCGCTTTTCCTTCCACCAGTTTCTGTGTGACTTTATCCCAGTCACTCTTTATATCAGAAAGTGCATTTCATCTCTAACAAACAGTGACAGTAATCTGTCAATGTCCCCATATAATACTATGGTATGGAAAATAAATGACTATGTACTTCTCCTATCTTTAATACGATTTATGTCTTTATTGAGCTGGTGTCTTCTTGAGAATACTACAAGTTTTGTGAGAGGATAAAGAATCATGGAATCATGGAATCATAATGGTTGGAAAAGATCTTCAAGATCATCGAGTCCAACACCATTCAATATTCAACCATTCAACACCATCCTGCTAAACCATGTCCCTAAGTGWCTCATCTATACATTTCTCCAACACAGCCAGGGATGGTGACTCCACCACTTCCCTGCACAACCTATTCCAGTGCTTGACTGTTCTTTCCATGTAGAAATTCCTCCTCATATCTGAAATCACATTCTATGAAAATTATTCTGTGTGTTTTGAAAACTTAGTATTATTTTACTCCAGCAAATGTCCATTTTAAGGGATTCTTCCCTCAACTATGCCTATGAGGCCAGCTTTATAATAAATGAAGCCTTACGATGTTATAAGCCACAGTCTCTGATGAAAGTTGCACTGTTGTGGTGAGGGGGCCTCACATTCTTGCAGTCTGGCTGGTGATGAATTTCCTACTAAGGAGGAAATTGTGTCTGTTAGAAGACAGACACATGCTCTGGGCACTGCTAGTTTAAATCCTTGACAGGTATGCAGTTGCACTGGGCTMCTTAGTCACCAGACCTGTCTTGCTGCTGACATAAGTTCCTTTACTGGTTAATAAATCAGCCAGTGTTGTCTCTCTGATTATCACGGGAGCTGACAAAAACTGCATAATCACCTTCGTGTTGTCAGAGTACAGATCCTACGTGCCAGCCACCAAACTTCTCAGATTACATATTTTACATATTTTTCCAATAGAAAATAGAGATTGATGCAAACTGATGTGTTCTGCCCTACCGTGGACCTACCCTTTATATGCTGCTTGATGAAATCACCATCTCTCTTTCCCTAGTCAAGCCTCTGGCATCTTCATGAGAAGTTCAAAGGGCAAAATTTGCTTTTCCTTTCAGAATTCCTGAGGAAAGGAAGACTATTACATGCTTAATGCTCATCTGTCTTGCAGGATTCCCTTCTATGGGGATCCTGATACGGTGGCTACGTAAAGGGGACTCCCTTGGAGCTTGGCTTGGACCTGCCTTTTTATCCAGAGGACTGAGGGGTAGCCACATAGGTGAAGAATAAATTCTGCAAGACCTTTCTTGCCTCTTTCTCAAGGTTAAACAGCATGTCTGAGGTCACCGTGAAGAATTATTTCCAAGGAAACTACAATCCAGGAATAAGGATGCCCTCTTCTGTCTGTTACTTGATTCTCCTCTACCTGGCACCTTTTGCAATCACACATACACGGGTAAAATGAGTATCAGAATCAGGAGAACTCTTCAACTGATGAGCACACAGCAGAGCACAAGGTGCAGAGCAGAAATGCTCCACCAGCTCTTGGCAAGTTTCACAGACAGGGATTTTATTTGTTAGTGCCTGAGTAACTCCTAGTAACATGGTTACACTACCAATGTTAGCCAAAGAGTGAATTTTCTGTTAAAAAATGCCTATTCTAGGCAAATCCAGACCCCAAGGAATAGTACAAGGCACTTTATTATTATGCTTAGTATTATAATGCAATAGACAGAAATCTGCTGGCAAAGGCAAGGAAGGTAAGGATGGACTTTCACTTTGAATTATTAGCTGTGAATATAAGGAAATGACCTTTACAACTTGCAACCTAGTATTTTTCTCTAGATAACATGATTATCCAGATTTTCCTATGAAGCAAAGAAGACATCTTGCTCATCCTTCCTGTGGAATCAGAATCATGAACTCTATTTCTGAGCAGAAAGTAAGTTTTAAGAAATAACCTCCAAGGATTATAGTGCTATGCAGTTGACCACACTCGGATCAGCACTTTTGTCTTCAATATTTTACATCTTTGATCGTATTGATGTTGAAAGGAAGCCAAAGCTACAAAACCTTTGGTCAGTGCTCTGCTTGCTGTTTTTAAAAAATGTTACATTTGTATTAGTCTTCCTACACAAATTTCTGTAACCTTTTGAAAATGAAAGAACATCCCTAAAATAGTCAGCATGCTTAACTGTTTTTTTTTAAGGAGAAAGTGGAAAAGTAAACTGTTTTCATTGCCATATTAAAAAAACAAATGACTGGCTTCTATATCCATGCTCTCAATTCCCATGAAAACTGCAAATCTCCAAGTGCTTTGCAAGTTAGTTATTGCTACAGAAGAAATTATTTTGTATTAGTTGCCCCCTAGCAGGGAAAAATTTTAAGCAGTTTTGTGGGGGAAGGAGTGATTGAAGGCACTGATTCATAATTTCAGAATGCAAAACTGGCGCATAAAATATAAAGCTGTTTAGCAGTCAGAGATAGCTCATTGTTCTGTTGGTTTCAGCATGGCATTCCTTTCCTTCTCTCTCTTTCTATAAATTATATGAGTTTATTAAGGAAAACAAAGGTTGCTTGGAAATGGCTTTACACTCGAACATTATGCAGGAAATGGATTGTGAAGCATTCTAGAAGACGGTAGCCCTTTTGGGGGATCTTTGGAGCGATAAAAGGATTTTTTATTTAATATTTATTCTTTTTCTGAAGACAGTTACTAATCGCTTGAGGAACAAAGAAAATAAATATTCCTGTTTATTTCTAGGAGAGATCCACTGAGTGTGGATCAAAATGATAAAGTGACTATTGGCTCTGTGGAGAGAAAAAAGAAAATAAATTTGTCATATTGCTGCACTGACCTTCTAAGCAGTTATATGCTTCCAGCAATGTTAAGTTCATTTTCAGAATAAACTTTGCAGAAATAAAGTTTATAGGAATCTTGTATTACAGAATGAAGCGTGATTATTTCCTTCTGTTTTGTTTTATATAGCAGATTAGAGCATGTGCCCTGACAGTGCAGCTGAGACTATTTTTGGTGCACAAATGAGACCCCGAGGCGGAATGTGAAGCAGGGTGACAAACCCATTTGAAAGCTGACAGCATTGGTGGAGTGTTTAGAAGTGTTGCAGTAATGTCTGGAACTGAGTTGTGCAGGTATTGTATGTCTGCATGCAAAGCGACAGGGCATGTTTAAATTGAAACAATCCTGTTAGGGTGAAAAGGCTCAAATTGTGTACAACTTTTCTTCCTTTGGGTGGAAASACTTAATTATAGTTCTCTCAATGTTTTTTGTAGTTGACTTTGAAGTCCAATACTGGTTATTTTGTCTGCTGGTGTTTGCCTGCCTCGATTCTCTCCTGCTCCATTAAGGGAAAATTTCTACTATTTCCCAGTGAGAGACTTAGGTAGTCTCTCTGGTACGGAGCTAAAGCATGGCCCTGCTTGTGACCGTGATGGCAGCTCCAGCTCACGTTTCTCCATGAACAGTGCGAGGACTGTCCGATCCCGAGGATTTGTTCAGAAAAGGGTGGCTTGAAAGTGTGTTTTTAGATTCTGCTGCACGTTTAAGTMACGCTCAGCAAATAAGGCATTGGAGGGATTTTCTAATGAGAGATGATTAAAAGAGYGTCATTTGCAAAGCCAAAGTTGGAAGGAGAAACGATTCCCTACCTAAAAATAGTGGAGGCCAGAAGCACAACAGCGGGGAGCTTGTTCATGAGTGAAAATGTGTAAAATATGCAACCATATATGAACAGGCGGGAAAACTGGYGGCTTTGGGCCCCTGGAGCAGCTTTCCATTGGGAATAGCGGGGACACAAGCGGTGTGGTGGGCACGATGGATTCATGGATTCCTGGGCAGGAATTTGCAATAGCGCACGCAGGGCCACGGGGCTGGGTCTGAGCGCCCAGAACGTCAGTGTCCTCTGCCTGTATCAACAAAGCCAAAAATCTGTAAAATCTAGAAAATGGGGAAGAGGGATGGGTAGGCGGAGGGGGAGGAAATGGTTGATTCGGCTCAGTATGACCCAGTAGGAAGGAGAAGGGCTGAAAAGAAGGAAGCTGAGACCAGCAAGTGGAAGAAGGGGTCGAATTCCAGGGAAAAAAACGGTGCTTTGGTAGTTCCCTTTTGCCGCCTTGGGGCTGGCAGCACTGCCTGAGGGCTGCAGAGCCGGGCGGCGAGGGCGCAGTGCGGGACAAGAGCAGCTTACGGTAACACTYCGCCAGCCTCACGGGAATCACACAGACTTTAATAAAAAAGCTCATTTCACAGGGTAAAACTGGGATCAGGCGGCAGCCTCCGCTCCAGGCCGTTCCTCCCGGCGGGGGCAGAGGGCCGCGCACCCCCTGCCAGTGACATGGCGGGCGGCAGGCCCCGCGGCAGAGCCGAGGCCCGAAGCCGCCACGCCCGGCCTCACCCCGCCCCGCCCTTACCCACATAAGGGGGTGGGGCGGAAGGACGCGCCGCCGCGTGATTGGCGGGGAGGCCTGTCCGTCATCGCCCCGCGGCCCCCGCCCCCGCCCCGCGGCACCGCCCCGCGCACGCGCAGCAGGGCGGGCGGTGAAATTCAAATCTGAGGAGCGGTTGGGGCGCGTTTCGTTACCCGGCGGCGCGGCGGGAGGCAGCGCGCGGAGCGCGGAGACGGCAACGGCGGCGGCCATGGATCCCTTCACTGAGGTGCAGGCCGCCCCCGGAGTCGGGGGCGCCCCCGGAGTCGGGGGCTGCGCGCGGGGTGCGGCTGGGGCTGGGGGCGCTGCCGCCCTGGAGGCGGCGGGAGGGAGGGAGGCGGCAACGGCCACCGGAGTGTGCCGAGGAGCAGACAGGCCTCCCCCCACACCTTTATCTGCCCCTTCATCTTGCTCTTATTTGCTCGTTCCTCCGGTATGGCAGCTGGGTGGGTGTTTGTTAGGTTTGTGGCTTTGTCCGTGAGCAAACAGAGGGATCATTCAGGAGAAGGCCCCTTTGAAAGGTAGGACAGTGAGGCCCAGCTGGGTTTTGCTAGTGCTTTAGTATCTGCCTTTTGTGTGTGCGCCTGACAGATAAGTTTTCTCGCTGAAGCAGGAGTGGGGTGGAAAGCTGCTGGGAGTGGCATTGTGCATCCCCAGGCTGGCATATCTGAGGGCTGGTTTGAGGTTTGCTTGTGTCTGTGAGCCTGTTGTTTAAAAAACGCATCATATTTGACGTGACAGCCTCCTGTTACCAGTCACTTTCATTGGTGAGCTCAGTTCCTCTTTTTAAAAAGCAAGAAACGGTAATTGTTAGAACTAGACTTGTGTTTGTGTGCATGAGATTTGTAAAAGCAAGTTGGAATGGAGTGAATGGAATTGACATTGAATTTGTATGAAGGTTGTAGCTTTCTTAAAGATGTGACAGGTGTAAAGCCATGGAGCTATCATGTGACTGCTTTAAGAATACTTGAGTAAAATTAAAAAAAAGAATCATTTCAAGTCCACAGCCTGTCTGAACAAAAAGCTAAACTAAAAATCTTAAAGTACACATAAGAAACACATTTGCTGCTTTCCTTGTCTATCTGTTTGAAATGCAAGCTGGTTTCCTTAAATTGATTGCTTGTAAAAGAGGCTCCTGTAGATCTGCTTTTAAAAGACTATATGTAGTACTGACCTAAACATATGGACTAAATTTGTTATGCCAAGGCAGACTTCCAGTACTCCCATGTAAACCTTGCTAAGTATAAACAACTAAAACYGCCTTCCTTACTTGGTAGTGAGTGACATGATGAGGCTAGTCTTAAGTAAACTTCAAGTCCACGCTTCTGAATCAAATTTAAAGTTGTTTTGCATGCTGGGAAGTTTTCCAGCCTGAACATGCCCTTCTTCCAGATAACTGGTTTTGAAAAACTATGACCAACTCTGAGGGCGCTCCTTGAGTAAACTTCTCAAATGTTTGCTAGGGCTGCAGGGTGCCTAAAATGTTGCCTTATCGAGAATGTGGAGGACTTCATTCCACTGTTGGGTAAAAAAA